TCGAGTTACCGTTGATGCTCCGATGGATGACACAAGAGCGGCCAAGTATAGAGAGGATGTAAACAACGTTAATATTTGGCTGTCGAATTTGCAGTACTGGTTCACCGAGGCCTGTATGTTGTGCTCCTTTTGGTACACATCCGGGAAAAACTTCTTTAAAAATGGATCCATTGATGTAACTCCACCTGTCAATGATCAACGAATTATTCATCATCATAAACACTTCATTGTAATGTATTATTACAACACACACATTGAATGCCAATTCTGGATGAACAAACAAACCTGAGATGCCGAGATCGTAGCCAAAAATTAGCCCTCCAAATGCAGCAACCAAACAAGTGATGAAAACCCTGAAAGTAAGCTTTCCGGGATAATCTTTTCCAGAGGCATTGCCTCCTGCTATCACACCTCCTGCCATTTTGCTAACTGATGGAGGGAATACAATAAAATTCAGAGATTTGTGAGTAGTGACTGAGGGAGAGCTTTATGAGCAGCCACTGAGAGAGGGAGAAAGGTGAGTGAGTGCTCAACAACGCTTCCATAGCTTCAAATATATAAGCAGTTCAAGGATAATTAATACAAACAAGAGATAATCAATTAATTATCAACACTTCCAGATTATAGATTTTAGATAAAATTCACTCTATTTATCTTTTAATTAATATCTTTAATATTTTTTATTTTATAATATTTTGACTTTACAAATCTCTCTTTTCTTCAACGATCAATTAGGTAAAATATTTACTTATATATCTTCAACTACCATTCTGATTTTCTTAATTGTGTATCTTTTCGAAAAAGATAAATTTATTTTTTTAAAAAAAATATTTGTTTACACCGTGTGTTCTATCATAAATGAGTTTTCAAATTTTAACATGTGTTTCCATAAAATTTTAAATTGTTTTCTTAACATAAACATAAAAAGTAATATAATACAACTAACATTGCATGTTTTATACACGAGAAAGTCAGAGTTTTTATCACGATGAATAAGGAAATAACAACAGCGACATAAATTGAAAATATATATAACAATTACATGATAATTAATAATAATATTTATGACATAATCTTTAAAAGACCGATAAATTCTAGAGAAGTGTTATATTTGTAATGTTTTATATGCCACATCAAAATGTATTGGTCATGTTAGATTTTCTATGTCAGTATGCACTTATCATGTTAGCGGCCAAGCAAACCTTGAGTGAAGTTATGGAAGTAATCCGGGTCATCACAAACAGAGAATGCATGTACCTGCAGAGTACACAAATGATATAAGAGACTCACAAAAAGATGGATTTTCTGAGTCTTCTTAATGAAAGATATACCCTTGCTTTCGATGTACTCAATGATGATCCCAGTGACAAACCAGCAATTGTGTCCCCACTGAAAATTAATAAATATATGATGTTAAATAAATGAAAATATAATTAATTATGATTTAATATATATTGATTTAAAGGTAGTATATCCATTTAAAAATGAATCATAACACTGATTAAGCTCACATTCTGTAGGAAGTTTGATTGCAAATTATAAACTGATGGCATGGGCATGAATAATTTTCATTACTAGATCTTGATTTACTAAATACTATGTTAAACCCACACCTCTAGAGAGAGATCTTTATTGGCACTTTACAAAATAAAATACTAGAAGAAGCTAAAAAGTTGTTATAATATGTAAAGAGAATCCAATAAGGGGAAGAATATGGTTGCTATTGAAAAGATAAAGTCAAAGTAGACCGCACTTGCTACAAGCTGCAACAATATCATCAAATTTGACCTTGTCTGTCCCCCTCTGAATCTGCTGCTCAATTTCTCAAACTGCCTCTGTATAACCCCCCAAAGGAATGATTGAATCATACAAAAAATTTAAAATAAATAAATATTAAAGTATCCATCCATGATCCTGAGTTGGAAACAATGCAGTTCAAAAGTTCCATCCATGTAGGCATCTCACCAATTTCACAACAAATACCCTTATAGCTAAAAATATTAAAACAACCACCACCTTTGGGTAAAAAGAGTATTGGGACCATGGCAAAAGACTATCCTACCATGACTAAAAATCAACATAAAACAGGTATTTGTCTCTACAAATTCAGAACCTGAGATTGAGAAATATGGGACACCTGCAATAGCCTTTGCTAAAAGTGTCTTCCCAATTCCAGGAGGACCAACAAGAAGAACACCATTTGGTAGGCGTGCCCCAACAGCAGTGAACCTCTCAGACTTCTTCAGAAACTCCAGCACCTCCATAAAATCCTGCTTAATGAAGTAATTACCTCCATTAAAGTAACTATATATGCAAAATATTGTTATACACAAGACTACTCATTGCATTTAGTATAGGTCATTCAGTATTTATGCATACACATTGTGTGAGGTTAGGAATATTCATCTTTAATGCGTGATTAATATATTTCTTTTGTGGGTATTGTAAAGAAGACGCTCGCTAGTATAAACCTCTATAATTCAGTTATCGACTCTAACAAACCGAACTTACCTATAAAACTATCCAAAGTTGCTATTTATCTTTCCAGGACAGCAGTAAGTAATTTGCGTAAAATGATCTACTTCAGGCAATATTAGATGTATTGATTATTTTAAGAATAAAATTGAACAATTCTATATTGGTTTCTCATCGGCATTGGAGTTTAGCCATAACCCTCTTTTTAATTTGAGAAAACTTCGTTCAACCGTGATTTCAAACATAGGAAAAAAATGTGTGAACTCCACTTCAACCATTTAAACAAACAAGCACTAAATAGAAGGGTATTGAAAATTCTCGATCTTTCCACTTGATTGAAAGCTGAATATCTTACAATAAAGTAGAGTTTCACCAATGTAGAAAATATAAGTCCTTTAAACTTGTTACTTCAATATTGCACTATGTTGTTGAGTAACCGGTTCATTAATTATTGAAGGAGGAGATGGACAAGTCATAAACTAAAGCAAGCAAAAGTGCTTCATGGAAAGAAAGAAAAAAAATAAAAATGAAAAACATTTGAACATCTCAGGAACACCACTCTCTTGCATTCTGGAACATGCGCAACCAAGGACTAGGCCCCTTCTTGTCCACGTCCCACTGCTTAGGATACCATGGGAACTGCCACATTAAGAAGCAACGCTCTGGATGAGGCATCATGGCAAGATGTCTTCCATCTGGGGAACAAATAGCTGCTACCCCTAGAGGTGAGCCATTCACATTGAAAGGGTAGGCCTCAGTCAGATTCCCAGCATCATCACAATATCGTATAGGAGCTAACTCAGAATGAACTATACGGTCCAACACACCTTCATCAGGGAAATAAGCTCTTCCCTCACCATGAGCAGCCCAAATACCCAAAGTGCTACCTGCCATACCTTTGAACATTATAGCCGGTGAGTCCTTTATGGTCACACTTGTAAAGCGGCACTCAAACCGCCCTGACTCATTATGAATGAACCTCGGTTGTGATAGGTCACCACCAGCACCGTGTACACCCCCAACTTGTGGGCCTGGTACCCATCCCAACAAAGCCATTAACTGGCATCCATTGCATACACCTAGACTGAAAGTGTCTGGACGCTTGTAAAACTCCTGAAATTGTTGTAAAACGGGCTCATTGAATCTAATGCAAGCAGACCAGCCTTTTGCTGAATCCAGCACATCAGCATAGCTAAACCCTCCAACAAAAACAATCCCACGAAACTCTTGCAAAGAGACCTTTCCATTAAGAAGGTCTGACATAGTGATATCCCATGGTTCAAAACCAGCAGCATAAAATGCTGCAGCCATTTCTCTGTCTCCATTGCTCCCTTCTTCTCTAATCACAGCCACTTTAGGTTTAACAGCTGCAGCCATAAGCTTTCCATCAGTAAAGGAAGGAGTAAAGGACAGTTGCCACGAGGGCTCATATCGATGTTTTAGCCCTTCTCTCTCCATATCCACACAAGATGCCAATCTTTGGAACTTCTCCAGCTGAAAACTGGTATCTTCCCACATATCCCTAAGGATGCTAGTTTTCTCACTTAGGTGAGACACCCCATCAACCTTAACTTCTATCAATGGATTGGCAGTTACTTGACCTATGACTTCAGCAGAAACACCCACATTTTTCAATTTATCCATTACCAAAGCCAGATTTTTCTTGCTTACCTCAAGAACTAGCCCAAGCTCTTCAGCATAGAGTGTTTGGAAAAGGCTATTACCTTGTGATGTCAAATCCAAATCAAGTCCACAATTTCCGGCAAATGCCATCTCTAAGGCACAAACTAGCAGCCCACCATCACTGATGTCATGACCAGCAGAGATCAGTTCATCAGTAAGAAGGTCTTGAACACCTTCAAAGACCTTTTTAAGGTAAGGAACATCATCAAGATCAGGACACTCATCCCCAACTTGGTCAAATGCTTGGGCAAGAGCAGATCCACCTAATCGCCTCTTACCCTTTGACAAATCAATATGAAGCAAAATACCATCGTCCTTTAATTTTAAATCTGGAGTTACTGTTTTTGTTATATCAGGACATGTAACATAAACACTGATGACAAGGTTACCTGGGGCCTTAACAACTTCATTTTCAGCATGGGCTGCCATAGAAAGACTGTCTTTCCCTCCATCAATAGCAATGCCAAGTTCAATCATTGCTTCAGATAAAGATATGGCAGCATCATACATATCAGCTCCTTCCCCATCAAGCTTGGCAGCATACATCCAATTACCACTAGCCTTGACATCAGAAAGAGAAGTTACCTTTGCCCATACAAGATTTGTCAGTGCTTCTCCAACAGCCAACCGAGCCATTGCTTTGGGGTCTAAAAGACCTTTGATTGGTTGTTCCCCAATGGCACAAGCACCTCCAGTCACATCAGCAAAAGTTTGAGCTGTAACAGCAACATCAGCTAGAGGAATCTGCAACGGACCAACAGTCTGCTGCTGTGCCACTAGACCAGTAACACACCTATCAACTTTTGTTGTTAAGAAGCGTTTTGAACAGACAGATGGTAAACTCAATACCCTCTTCAGAGAATCTATCACCGCAACACCAGGGGCAAGATCTAGTGGCTCCCGCTCATAAACAACCCGATTAAATTTAAATGATTTCTTAGGCATGTCACCAAGGACTTTCTCCAGTTCAAGATCCACAGCAGGGGCAGGTGGGGGGAGTCCATTAGAAATACACTTCTGAGTTGCTGAACTATCAACTAAAACAACACGTCCATCACCACTAATAGTTCCAATAACAGCCATTGAAACTTTCTCCCTACTACAGATCGATTTAAGGATATCATGACTCTCAGGCTTCACCAAGATTGCATCCTGCTCCTGATACTCTGCACCCCAAATTTCTAGAACAGACATTGTATGATCACCAACCACAATTGCTCGGACATCTATCTCAGCACCTTTTGGATATATAATTTCCTTTACAACATTGCAGTTCCCACCAGCACCCTGGTCATGAATGCTAATAATAGGATTTTTCTCCCCCATCTCAATACAGGCACGAACAAGACGGTATAGTTTTTGAGCCATTTCAGCATCCCCACGTTGCACAGCATTGAAATCAAGCTCCGCATCATTCTGCCCACTGACCATGCTTGAGGCTGCCCCACCTCCCATACCAATACGATAAGCCGGACCTCCAATCTTAACAACCAGCATACCAATGTCAGGCTCTCCCTTTGATATATGAAGGTGGTCAATCTGTCCAATGCCTGCACTAAACATGATTGGCTTCAACCATTCTCGCCTATCCCCACTAGGAAGTCTCATTCCAAATGTTCTGCAGAAACCCTGGATCAATGGCTCTCCGAATTTGTTCCCATAGTCAGATGCACCATTACTAGAATCTATAAGAATCTGTAAAGGTGATGCCAAATTTGATGGATAAGTAAAGGAGGGATCTTCCCATGGAGCATAAAAGCCTGCAGTGTTGAGATTCCCAACACAATAACCAGCTGTAGCTGCCTGGACAAATGACCCCCTTCCTGTAGCATGTGTATCTCTAATTCGACCTCCTGCACCAGTCTCTGCACCAGGATAAGGTGCCACTGCACATGGAAAATTATGTGTTTCAGCAGTAAACAAGATATCTAGCTCATGTGCTGCAACATCTAACGGGCATACTGAACCAGGCTGAACTGGTCGGAGCTGCTTTACTGGGAAACCTCTTATTGCACTCGAGTTATCCTTAAAGCCAATAACTGAGTTATTTGGATTTGCCTGTAGAGTACTTTTCACAATTTGCATAAGAGTTCTACTCATAAGCTGTCCATCAATGAAAATCTTTCCAGAAAAAAACCAGTGTCTGCTGTGCTCACTGTTGGACTGCGCAATATCAAACAACTCCACATTTGTTGGATTGCGCTTAATGTCTTCCCTGAAGAGTTTGGTGTAGAATTCCAAATCCTGGTCATCAAAGGCAAAACCCATCTCCAGATTAATCTCTTCTAATGCCTTTCGTCCCCTCTCCATGACAGGTATATAACGAATTTCTTCTGGAACTACACTGGTCTCAAAGGATGTTAGTTTCTGAGCGTAAACACATTCAGTCATCCTATCATGCACCATTGATGCAAACTCATTGATTTGATGATCTTGCAGTTCACTTGTGGTGAACAACAAGTACCTCCTTGACCGTTCCAAACGGTTCACTTCCGTCAAACCACAGGCTTGGCAAATTGCCACAGCATTAGTAGACCATGCTGTGGTAAATGACAACCTGGGGCCAACCTCGACGATAACTGGAACCAAACCCTGCTTCCTCTTCTTCTGGAGAAAGCTCTCGGTTCCCAGATTCTCAGGCTCAAACGTTTCTTGAAGAAGCCATTTAAGAACTGAAAACTTTTTACTTGAAAGTTGTGAACCAAGGCCAATATTATAGCATTGCTCCGTCTGTATTTCCACAATCTGATTAGAGATTTTCACTTGAGCCTCCTTTAGAAGCTCAGCAGCTGCACTATCTTGCATAAACGGGACACGATACAAATGAACAACTTCTGAGGCAGACTTCTCAACCAAACCCGGTTGCTCTTCTACTGAACTGCTCACACCACCAGAAACCACAGCTTTAGGATTTTCTTGAGCCTGGCACCTTAAAGGCAAAGCTCTTGAAGATGATCCCAGAACCCAATTCCGATTCCAAAGCTTACCCCATAACATATGACTTCGTCTCTGAGACCTCTTTTTCAGAAACAAAGTTTGCCTGGAGGTACCCTGAAACCAAAATCACAAATCCCATAAATAAATACTCATTTAATAGAACACTGATTGATCAATGACAAACTGAAAATCAAAACAACCCCACGCTCAAAGCACAAAACAAAATCAACAACGACGATAATTAAAAAAATTAATTAATAAAAGGGGTGTAGCATGTGATGTTAATTCAAAGAGAAGGAGTAAAATCAAACCTGCAAGAATTGAGACACCCCAAATTCCGTGACAGCCGCCATGTCCTCGATCAAGCGTTGGAAACCTCTATAGACTATAATAGGGGGGAAAAAAGAAAACTTTGAGAGGGGAGCACTGAGAAGCAGAACCAGAATGGAAGAAGAGCAAATCAAAAAGAGAGGGGCACTGTGACTGTAGTGTAAAGCAAAGAGGGTTTTAGTGTAGCACAAAATAAACCCTATTAGTCAAATTACTCTCTTTCACTTGTAATGAATAAATTATAAAATTGTTCTCACCCTTTCGATGCCGCTATTTTATATTTTTCTTTCTTCCTCCTCCGATTATTTCTTTGTCTGCTGATGCTTTTGCTTTGTGGCTTTACTTTTAGCCCAATCCGAATCAGATACTCGCAGAGTTGATATATAATTGTCTGTAAATTTAATATCAACCATAATTTTAAGCAGGTTAAAGCTAAATTATATTTGTATTTTTTATTTTACTCTTAAATTTATTTTAATCATTTATATGTTAAAAATGCTCATTTTTTATAATTAAAATAACTTTTTTATCCTTCCAAAAAATGATTAATTTTCAATTTTATGACATAATATTGATTTAAAATGAAAAACCTATAATATTATATTTAATTACAAGAATATTATAAAATTCAATTGCTATTCAAATTTAAAAGAGTTATGATTATACCGAGAATCACGTAATAAATATATCCTACTAATAATTAAAAAATAATATAAATTAGATTTTTAAAATGTTAATTTTTTTTTTGAACTTATATTTATATGATTTTCATTTTGTTTATAAAAACGTTTTGTTTCAATTTTAATTGTTATCCATCTTTTTCATATAAGTAAATTTGAGATAAATTTTAAGTATTAAATTACTCAAAAATAAATTTTAAATTGTATCTCAAAAATAAAAATTATTATTATTATTTTAAATCAATTCAAATTTAGAAAATAAAAAACTAAAATAAAAATTTAAAAAAATAAAAGATCAAATCAAAATAACCACTAAAACTTAAAGTTGTAGATTGATGAGATATTTTTATAAAAAAGGGAAAAAGTTAGTTTCAATATATTCTTGCTTTTTTTTTAAGTATTAACAAGTATGTTCAAATTTTATGTATGAAAAATAATAAAATTAATTTTAATATGTTATAAAAAAATATATAAATTAAAAATGTCATAGTAAAAAATTAATTTTAATATACATTGTCATAGTATGTATAATTTTAAATATATTTTCATTTCAAACAAGTAAAATTTCTAAAAACTTTTTCATTAAAGAAAACTTAATAGCAACTGGTTTATGTTTAATATAAGTATTTTAATAATAATAATAATAATTATTATTATTATTATTATTATTATTATTATTATTATTATATTTGGCTCTTCACTAAACTCTAGGTAGAATTGGCCCCGTAGGAACTGTAAGTACAATTTGGATTTCTTTTTTTTTTTTTTAACGTTTCAATCAAATTGTCAATTTTTCTTTTAATCCGCAAATTGCCTATGGTTTGTAAAACTTGAAATCGTTATAATAATTAATGGGTTAATATCGTTATAACTACAATTTTCAATATGTAATAAATTACTATTAGATTTATGTATATTGTAATATAATTTTTAACTAAAGATAAAAGAAAATTAAAAATATTAAACTTCAATTTGGAAACACCGATGAAAATTATAGATTATAAATGTATAAAAATGTTTTAGTTGAAGAAAACCTTCCATAAATATTAATGTTGACTCCTAAAAAATGTTTCTATATTCTAAATTATAATTTATATATAGATAGGATAGGAAAATTCTTTTCTATTATGTCATGTTTATATACTTCATTAATTATTTTTATGTTATGATCCCTTTGCTAGTTAAGAAAAGATAGAAAATTTATATATGGATAGGATAGAAAAATTTCTTTGTCTTGTTTCATATATTTAAAGTTAGTAGGAAGATAAATTAATCATTAAATTTAAATCAATCAGGTTCAAAGAATTGTATTGATTACAAAAATGATTTTATTAAACTGGTTGACGGCGTTGGTACAAATTTAGAAATAAATAATTAAAATCTAATTATTTTGAAACATTAAATTAATGTAAGATTGTTTGTCACCTTTGTACCAAATTCAAAAGTCAGGCGAACTGTGTGGGACTGTGGATAATCACTAGCTCACTTGAGTAAGAAAAATTAGTTTAAGCAATTGGGTACTTTGCATGATACTAAATTTCGTGTTACTAAATTTAATACTTTAGATTAAAAAAAAATGGAAGTCCACTACACATTTTGAAAGTATTAATTGAATTAATAATTCTCAAAATTTAAAAAAAGAATAAACTTAAATAAAATATTTAATATACTAAGTATAAAATAATAAACTTATATAAAATATTATTTATATGAACATATTAATTATATAATTAAATAATGTAAATATTGAATAAATATATATATTAATTATATAATAAATGAATATGTACATAGTGGAAGATGAACGTGTTAGGTTAATTTAGAAGAATGAAAGAGGAAAAATAAGGCGGAAATCTTAGGTTAAAAATAAGGTTAATTTGGAAGAGTCAGAGAGGGAAATTTAGAAAAATTTAAACTTTTAGAAATTGCAAAACTTATAAATTTTGTTTTTTTTTTTTTGCTTGTAGTATTAGCATATTATTTAATTAATAATTAAAAATAGTATTATGTAAAAAAATTAAATTATTTATAGATAAACATAAAATATAACTAATATATTTAAAAAATTTATTTATACAAATTCTTCATACATTATATATATATATATATATTTGTATATTCGTTATAAATTTTAATTATACATAAATAATATTTATATATAAAATACTATTTATAATAATTATATTTTAAATTTATGATAAATAATTTATATAGTATAATAAATTTATTGAATTGATTGTTGATTTTTTAAGGTATATTAAATTGAGTTTAAAAATAAAGTTGAGAATAATAGATTAAACATAAAGATAGTCTTTTAGTAATTCTAATTTGATAATAAATTTATTATTTTTAATTGTTAGTTTGATTTTTCAATTAAGTTATAAGATTAAAGTTTTAAATAAATAATAAATAAATAAAACTTTATCTTTGATTTTGAATATAAATTTAAATTTTTAAGATAATATAATAAATTACCAAGTTTTAAAATATTGTCTTTAATTGTTATTTTAATGTTTTACAATTAGGTTATAAGATAAATTTAAAAAAAAAATCATTATCTTTGATTTTGAATCAGAATTTATATGTTTAAGATTAAATAAAAATGTAAAACAAAAATATTTCTTTCTCTCAAATTGAATTTGAATAATAAAACATCATTCTCTTGGATAACGAGATAATATTTCTATTTGATTGATTTTTGTTTGTTACATTTATATTGTATCATTATGTTATGATAACCAAAAATATTGGATTGACAAGAAAAATATACTTTAAAATTAAAATAAATAATATATTTTTACCTTTAAAAATTAAATTAACTATTAATGTGTTGTATAGTTAATAAGTCATGAACATTGTGAGACTTTTATAACTTATTTATCTTGTATAAAGTATTTTATATAATATTATATTTTTTAATTAATAATGTTTATTAGATATAAAATAATGTCAATTTTTTATGTTATAATAATTTATAAATATAATTTTATTTTGTGTCTAATATAAAGTTTTCATTATATATTTTCTTTATAAATATTTTTATTTTAATGTTTTATTCTAATATACACGAGTTATTTACTGATTTAATATAGTTACGTTTATCAATTTTTTTTATTTATAATAATTACGATGCCAGTGACAAGTTTAAACATAAGATTATGCATGCATATATTATTACACTTTACATACTAAAATACTAATTACAAAAAATAGCAAAGCAAAATACTGTTTAAAAAATAGATATAATTGTCTTAAAATTGTGGAAATCAAAGTTACATATTTTTATGTATTGTTACATATTATACATAAAATTATTGTTACTAAACATTTTAATATTAATATTCTTAAAAAAATGTGATAAACTAAAAAGAAAAGATTTTAAATTTAGGATTTAGAGTTTTACAATTAGCATATTGTTTTATATTAGAATTATGTTTTGTTAAAAAAGATTTATAAATTTTTTTATAGTATTTTAACATATGCAATGAACAAACAAAATATTAATTATATATAATTAAAATTTATAATAAATTATATATAAAGATAAATATTACGTTTAAATATATAAGTTTGAAATTTGAATAAATAAATATTTTAAATATATAAATTGTATTTTAAATTTAACAAAAAATATTTTATATTAACCTGTAATATTATTTTTATTAATTGATAAAAAAAATTTAAAATAATAAAATTTAATTCATAAATAATTATGATAATAAAAATGATATTATATAAAAAGATTATTAAAAAATTCTTTAAAAAATTTCATCGAAAAAAGATTCCAAAAAATATTATTTTATAAGATAGAGATCTGTATTTAACATAACAAAATTGATTCTAATGATTTTTTTTTGTAACTAACATATTTTAAAAATTTAAATAATTTGATAAATAAAAAAAATTTCATAAATATTATAATTAGTAATAAAAAATTAATTTTTATGAAATTCTTGCGATAAATTATTATAATTAGCTATTACAATTTAATTATCTATTTTTTTTACCGATGTTTAAGTGATATATTACTTAACTTAAAACGTACAAAATAATATTCTTCTATAATTATTAAAATAATTATGACCAAATACCATATAATAATAATAATTATTATTATAATAATAATAATAACTTTATTGAAAACTGGGGTGTTACAATCTTCACTGTCAATTGATCTTCACTACCACTTCCTGAACCTTCCCTCCTGAAAAGCTACCACCACTTCCATGGATAATCTTCCCTGCACCAACAAATCCTAAACCCACTAAATAGAACTCCATACCTACCCCTAACCCACCCTCTTTATCTTCTATAATAGTATTTTTATTAATTTATAAATAATTTTTAAAATAATAAAATTTAATTCATAAATAATTATGATAATAAAAATGATATTATATAAAAGATTATTAAAAAATTCTTTAAAAAAATTCATTGAAAAAAGACTCCAAAAAATATTATTTCATAAGATAGAGATCAGTATTTAACATAACAAAATTGATTCTAATGATTTTTTTTTAACTAACATATTTTAAAAATAAAATTTTGAATTTTTAAATAATTTGATAAATAAAATAA